TATATATATATATATATATATATATATATATATATATATATATATATATATATATATCATACTAATCGATAACGCCTATCAAAATACGTGAAAATTACTTGAATTTTAACGTATTTCAAGTTGAGCAGAATTTTCTTCAATAAAGAACTAGATCGACAATACTCAATAAATTAAGTTAGTCTTATCTTTCGACTGACTTCAAAGTTTCGCGGAGACATCACTCATCATTGTCAGAAAGTACAGATAAATCTGTTGACTAATTTCTCGAGATCATATTTATTTTCTACATAAAAAATTGTGTATAGTCTCTAAACTAATTTCAAATTTGGAATTTTTACTCTGCTAGAGTTCATTAAGAATGTGATAACATTTCAATGTTCAGCAGCAGTAAATTATGACTATATTAAAGTAAAAATATTTTATATTCTTACATCATTCTTATTTATTTTATATTCTTATATCATTTCGCCGTTATAAAAGATATTTTTGTGTAAGAAATCTTAGAAATTAAGCACAGAAAATTCACCAACGATCATATAATTCGAAAATTAATTTCATACTATTAAAATATAAACGAATTAATTCATAATGGTTCCCAGATAAGGAGAGCAATCAGATATTAAGCAATTCAGGTTTAATCTTAGTCTGGACTTAGAAAAATTATCAGAATTGCAAAAAAGAATCAATTAAAAAGCAAGGAGCAGGGCGATGCCATTGGTTTTTCATACCGTTGTCGTGCGAGACAATCTTTTACTACAGAATCTATCTTACGCATTTATAAGTTTGCTACTCGTCCATATTACTGCCACATATGACCCGGTACCCCTGCTATTTATCTTGAGCTACTCGATAGAATCCAAAGAGGAATCAGCAATATTATTGGTATTGATCTGGCATCTCGGCTTCATTCACTTTCCCACCGCTGTGAAAGTGCCTCCCTATGCCTTTTCTATAAATACTGTCATGGTAATTGTTCTAATGATCTCTTCGCTATTGTACCTAGACTTTTTGAATTTAAGTAAAGTACTCGACTGGCAGTGAAATCTCATGAGTTTATTATTGTGATGGCTCGATGTAACCGTAAGTTCTATGTTAGCCGTTTCTTTTCTCGCAATTTTCCTTGTGGAACTCCCTTCTGGTTCCATGTTTTCCAGACAACAATTTTCAATCCCAATCTTTATCTACTGTCTTCCCGATTACTCTTTTTCTCTTCCCGCTCATTATTGATATTTCCCTTTTCTAATTATTCCACACCCTGTAGCCTCTTGCGTCTTAGCGGATTTACCGCCTTGCATGGGGTGATACCGATTTTTAAAAATAATAATAATAAATTTTAACCAGTGAAAATTTCATGGTTTTCCTATTTCGAATTTCTGATAAATTATTCTTCAGTTAATGAATAAATAAGCTCATAGTGAGTTCTACGACAATAACATATCCGTAAAAATTCCATTATCACATCGTTAAAGATTGGAGCTTAACAACTTTAACAAAAATGTTGCAAGAAGAAGCATAATTATGAATACTACTCGTTATTTTAAGAAGTAAGGGGGTACAAATGATTTGAAATTGACAACTTTTTCCATTTCACTGAAACACGTTAAGCACTTCTATCTTACCTTCTTTCTTTTTTCTTTCTTTCTTTCTTTCATTTTTTCACTGAAACCAAGTAGCGTATTTGATATGTATTTTGTCTTCTCATGCGATCAAAATGGAATAGTCCATTATTTATTAGGTATTACCAGGAGACAGTAAACACTTCTGTGTTTATTTATTTATTTTTTTCTTTGTTTTTTTTTTTTTTTTGTTTCTTTCTTTCCTTCTTTCACTGAAACTATTTACACAACCTGACCCCGGGACTGAAATTACAATTACTACGTTACCAAATTCACGAAACAAAGTTTTAATCCATGAGTCCCGAGGAAATTGTTTGTAGGTTACTTGGATCGACATTCAACTGGTGAAGGCTGGAGAGTGCAACGACCGAGACGTTGTGATGACAACAATAAAGATGAGGACAGAAGTCCGCATGTAAATAGTTTAAATAATGATACCTCTTCATCCCAGTATTTCAGGCTTGTTCGATGCGTTATCACGAGACAACTTTTAATATTTTAAAAGTGTAGTAAAATGCTAACATTAAACAAATTTGATTTTTATATTTTTATAATTTCGCCATTTTAAAACATATCGATACCATATATATATATATATATATATATATATATATATATATATATATATATATATATATATATATATATATATATATATATATATATATATATATATATATATATATATATACCGATATAACAGCAAAATTGTACAAATCGTGTAACAGCAAAATTGTCCAATTATTAGATTAAGCTCTGAACCGTTGTATCTTAGAAATGATTAAAGATATCTTATTGGAATTCTGCAAGGTTTTTAAAACACTATTGGACACTACATTAAACGGTAAGAATATATAATTACTCCCCAAGCTTAACTGAAGAGTCGTGATGAAATCGATCATAAATGAAAATGACATGTTCATCATTAATTAGTCATAGCTAAGGATCGGAAGCTCATGAAGGATTGAAATAAAGTTCAAATATATATATATATATATATATATATATATATATATATATTATTCCAGGATCATAATCCAACTTATTCAAGATGATCTTCGCCCTCACTAACCTTAGTACATTTATTTATATATTTGTATTTATAGTATATTTATTTATTTTTGTCTGTCGGCCTGAATATTCGAAAAATTCAAGAAAAGATTCTCCCTAAAATATATATATATATATATATACGTTTTGTGAACAGATATGATCGATCGAAAATTGTCTTTATAAACAGTAATTTCGACACTACTAATCAGACGCTTCTCTGTAGCTAAATGTTATAGCACGTCAGATCAAATGACGGTTACTTATAGGAATACAGGTTCGATTCCTATCGGGAAACGCATATTTTCTACGAAATTTCTCGAACATTGAGGCTGGCAAATGTAATTAATACTGTTTAATTAAAAACAGAGCATTTACTTAAATAAATTCTATCTATAAAAATAACGCATAAATAGAATATATATATATATATATATATATATATATATATTGCACTCACTACTCAGTCGTAATTGATCTAGCAAGACAAGCTTTCTAACCATTACACGACGTCGAGGTGCCTATATATATATATATATTTTTAAACAGTCTTTGTAATGAAAGTTTTCAATATGAAATCATAGAACATTAATAGTCAAGAAGAGTAAATGTTGATTTATGTCGGAACTCTTAGTTTCGCGCAAATGACATCCACTCGTCACTTTATTTACAGAAGATTCACATATTTTTCTTCAAAAGCCTAGATGATTTTTCCTAAAAATGGCGTTAATTTTTTAAGGAATCTTACTTTAAGATTCTTCTTTCTTAGAGAGATTATTCTAAATTTGAACTGCGTCATATAAAAATATCCTTAAGAAAAAACAAATTTAAAAGAAATTTTCGTGAAAAATAAATGTTCTGCTGGGCAAAATTAACTAACATTTTTAAAAAAAATATTTTGTAAATGAATTTTTTTAAGGACAAAATAGATAGATAGATAGATAGATATGAATAGACTGAGATAGATAAGAACAGACTGAGATAGATACGAATAGACTGAGATAGATAGATAGATAGATAGATAGATAGATAGATAGATAGATAGATAGATATGAATAGACTGAGATAGATACATAGATATGAATAGACTGAGATAGATATGAATAGACTGAGATAGATAGATAGATAGATAGATAGATAGATAGATATGAATAGACTGAGATAGATAGATAGATAGATAGATAGATAGATAGATAGATAGATAGATAGATATGAATAGACTGAGATAGATACGAACAGACTGAGATAGATAGATAGATAGATAGATAGATAGATAGATAGATAGATAGATATGAATAGACTGAGATAGATAGATAGATAGATAGATAGATAGATAGATAGATAGATAGATAGATAGATATGAATAGATATGAATAGACTGAGATAGATATGAATAGACTGAGATAGATAGATAGATAGATAGATAGATAGATAGATAGATAGATACCCGGTTACTCTCGTTTTCCAAGCACACTGTCTGCTAGGGCGGCTCATCCCCGACGCAGGTACCTGCTCTGGCACATATATTTTTGCTTAACACCCCTACAGCCCACCCTTTGTCTGTAAAGCAATTCTGCTGTGCAAACATTAGTTACAGTTTCAGCGAAAGAGAGAGAGAGAGAGAGAGAGAGAGAGTGGATAATCTGTCCTGACTAGCAATTTTCTACAATGCTAGTACGCTAAAGCCCTCAGTCACGATGACTTTCGACTTCGTGCTAGCACAACCTTCGACTTCTTTACAACCTCTTCATCAACCCAATTTCACTCACGAAGCTTGGGTTAAGCCGTGATATTGGGGTTTGGGATTTTTTTTTTTTAACACTGAGATCGACTCTCCAGTTCCATAGCATAAAGAAGTCACGTTCTTGACAAACCGACGATTGGGAGATTTGAACCCGAGTTGCCAGGTCAAAGATCGATCGTCCTAACCACTCGGTAGATAGATATTTTTTTTTACCTTTTCCTCATATCCGCAGTTTTATTTCATCTTATTTTTATGAAGGTTCCTTGTACACGTTAGAAGAATTAAATAAATAAAAAATCATTAAAAATCAAGCAGAAAGAAAATCAAAGGAAAAAATCCAAATTGAAATCGAGAAAAAAAAATTAAAGAAAAAACTCTCAATGAAATAAAATGGCGCCAACAACAAGGGTGGTCGGTTGTGACAAGAAGGACGGGGTAAGGTGATAAGAAGGATGACAAAAGTAGCAGTAATGGGAGTGGCTGCGGATGTGGAGGGAGGTTTGCCCGCAGTCCTCGTGTGTGAATCTCTCGTAGCGCGGGACAAAACGTGAGGAAGATGGTGGCATCGACGAAAAAGAAGTAAGCGGCATCGCCCGGATATATTCCCCCTTGGAAGGAGTCGTGATGATATAGCAACCCTGACGGGACAAGTCTGATATCGAAGTCCCCGCTGACCGAGAACTGACAGGGTTAAATCATGATGTCACTGAGGTCGCCGGCGGAGGCATGGGTAAGATAGAAAAAGTGAAGCTTTAAAAAATTAAGAAGAGAAAACTTAAAACGGTGTGTGATAGGGAAGTGAATGCTTGAAGGTAACACAATGGATGGGAAAGACTTCAGAGGTAATTTGTATTTATTTCGTTGTTTGCTCATTTTTTTTTTCCTTTTCTTTCCTTTTTTTTTCTCAGGCGAATATATGTGTATTTGTGTATCGTAATCAATATGTAGGCTTTTCCTTAGATATGCATGAATTCGTAAAAAGATGGCGTCAATACATGCCTCATCTTAGTTGTCGCTGTGTGTACACACACATGCACCCATACAAACACATACAAACAGTTCGTCCCCAAGTTTCGACAGGGTTCCGTTCAAACCACCTAGTCGTAATTCGGCCCTGATGTAAGTGGATTAGTTCCCATTTTATGTTTTATGATATCTGTCGGAATCTCTGGGATGAGGGGTTATTATCCTACTATAATTGTGCTAGTGCCTCCCTTCGTTAGTTCGCACGACCGTTACGCCTTGCCAATACCTCATAAATAATGTACTATCCCGTTTTGATCGCGTGAAAAGACAAGGAACTTTTCAGAGACGCTACTTGGTTTCAGTAAAAAAAGCAAGAAAGAAAGAAGGGAATATAGAAGTGTTTAACATCTGATTTAGTGAAATGGAAAAAGTTAACAATTTCGAATCTTTTCATTTGTACCCCCTTACTTCTTAAAATAACAACATTCATATTTATGATTGTTATTTCAATATTTTGTTAAAGTTGTTAACTCAAATTACGATGACATAGGGGAATTTCTACGGATGCTTTATTATGGAAAAACTTGCTATGAGCTTTTTCAGTCATTAACTGAAGACTAAAGAATCATCAGAAGTTTCAAACAGGAAAACCGTGAATTTTCAAGCATTACAACCAGTTTACATTATTTACATACGGACTGATATCCTCATCTTAATTATTACTATCATAACGTTTCTGCCATTGTAGCCTCTGTCCTTCTTCAGGTGTCTATCTGTCCAAGTAACCTTTAGGGAATTTTGAACTAAATCCTTTATTTAATGGGATAGACTGTTCTCGTTCCGCTGTTCAAGTTTAAGGGTATCTCGTCATTTGTTCTTTTTTTATATGTTTAGTTATTGCTCGCCTTATTTTCATTCAGTCTAAGTCTTTACTGTCCAGCCCAGAAACTATATTTGCACTTTAATCCACTGGTTTTAATAGCAGTTTCATTGTACTTCACTGACTTCAAAACATTTTTATGGTCAGAAAACATCAGCATTAATTTTGCAAAAAGTGAGGGTTAATGATAAATACTGTAACATTTCAATTTATTGTAATATTGGTATTTACTTGATTCCCACAAAATCAAGATGTGACACAAGGTCGTTTAACGTGGGAGACCCGAGTGTTTCCACTCAAAGGCCACTGGTCAAAATTGGTCATAGCTTGTCCAAGCTGGTCAGAGCCTAGTCAAAGCTGGTCATGACTTGTCCTAACAGGTCCAGGCCGGAGCCAGTCCAAGCTAGTCAAACCTTGATCGAATCTCAGCCTTCGGCCAAGAAACGATCCATTATTTGTCAAAAACCCCCAGCCAAAAGGCCGAGGTTAATTGAAGAAATGGTTGCACTTGTAGCGCATGAACGATGAAAATGAGATCAGGTCAATTCCTGCTTTGTCTATTGCTTCGACCTTCAAACGAATGCTCCTGAAAAAAAAAGCATGTTCTTTCCCCCAAGATATGGGTGGGTTAAATTTCAGGGTTCTACTGGGCAGCTTGCTGTGGGTTTGCAGGTAGGCGAATGACAACTCTGAATTTAAACAGAAAACCACTCCACTATCTTTCGCAAGATGTCATGACAATTCACTGCTGTGGGGAGAGCCATGAACGCCTACGCCCTGAAGGGACATGATATTAAAAACGTAGACATATTGTGAAAAAGATGTAATGAAGTCATAATATATAGTTAAGATATATATAATGAAAATATAATCTAAAAATTATACTGTAGTATTATTTTTACATTGTATTTCATGATTACTTGTTTGGTATCTGTCGCTTTTCGTCCAGGGTATGACGATAAACTACATCCGGCAGTAAAGCTTCTGATCGGGAGGTTTTGAGGATCATGGAACTACCTCTTAATTGCTGCTTTTCCCAAGTCTACTATGACCCAGGCTGGTAGCACCTGTTAGGATCGCGGCTATAGGCAAATAGTGAACCCCTAAAATGGGGTCAAGACATAAAAATATGAAAATACATTAGAAAAAATTACCAGCAGTATATTTTCATGGTAAAAAAATTAAAAATTACCAGCAGTATATTTCCATGGAAAAAAAATTAAAAATTATCAGCAGTATATTTTCATGGAAAAAAAAATTAAAAATTACCAACAATACATTATTGGAAAAAAAATTAACAGCAATAAATCTTTTGGAAAACCCGTTATCAGTGCTCACAGCCCACTCTTTAAATCGGTCCAAGTTATTGGAACACCCTTTACTTGCATACTTGTAATAAGGCCCATGTTTCCAGCTTCCCTAGGAAAATGTTTGTGTTTATAGAAAACATCATACGGATATTGATCCAGCCGGTCAGCAGAGTACTGTGCAAGCTGATGATGACACTGCAAGGATGTGAGAATGTTCTGGTGGAGTTCACAAGAGCCATGAGTAGAATTGAAGGTGTGTCATACATGCACCATGATGTATAACATTTGCATCTGTTTATGATCGTTACTGGAGATGATTCTTTTCAGCCTGGATAGATATTCCTACGCATTGACTTCCGCCTTCATAGACTCTATGCCACTTCGTGTTTTATATATATATATATATTACATTATATTTATATATTATGTTTTTCCGCCCTACCCTCTGTTTCCTAATAGACAAAGAGTCGAAAGCCTGTAGCTTCTCTGTCGCTGCTTCCATGGGAAAATATGATGAAGCTATATGAGATGTTGTGAGTTTCCCGCGTGTCGCTGTATGAATCAAGACAAACACAGTTGTAGAGGAAAATACTGGTATATTCATAAAAGCAATTAACAATAGAGTGATTAATAGAACGAAGGTTGGTTAGTACGAAACATTATCCAAAGTCTATAGTCCAACGGTATGTACCGGGTAAGCTTATCTGGACTGCTGAGATATTCAGCCACCCCCCACGAGGGTGTCATGTGGCTCAAGGCCTTTTTAACGTGGGCATTCCCGAGCCATTAGGCTCGGCCAAAAAATAGCCCATTTGAACCCGTATAAACGGGTTCTGGGCCATTTTACCTCCCCCGAAGGAGACTCCGCCCTTCGGCGTAGCCTCCTTCGGGTTCCTCCCGCCCGTAGGAAGAGAGTTTAACCGATCAGTCGCTCAGAAAGAGCTGACTTATATAAGAGGGACCAGTCCATTACTAGTTAGAAGGTGGGTGCGCCCCAACACTATATTTCTTAGTTCCACCAGTTCAGAGATTCGCAGCTAAGATCCACCATGCCACGTACACAGGGTCAAATCATCCTCATTCTCTTTGTATTCCATTGGTAAGGAGGAAGTTTTCTTCGGAAATATTTTCCCAAGAACTGATATTTCGTAGAACAGACTCCTGAGAGTATATTTCCCCGAACACTACAATGATAACCTCTTTAAGTCTAGGGTCAACCGTTTACATTAGATATTCTCATTCGGTAAGTCTCTACCTTGAGTGGCTCTTGGGACTTGTCTTTGGTGAACATTGAAGCAATCCGACATCTAGCCACACCGAAGAGTTATGATACAGTCTGTCTGTGGATGACAATATATATATATATATATATATATATATATATATATATATATATATACTATGAGAAAAATCATCCTTGCATCATTGAAAAGTGCATATATATATATATATATATATATATATATATATATATATATATATATATAAAAAACGAGAAATATATATAGTCAATTGCTGATAGGCTCTGACAAACAGACGGAATGATTGCTAAGAAAAAATTAATGTAACTGATAGTGGTGATTTTTTTGTAAACACTTTAGTTACATTATTTTTTATCTTAGAAATTCACGACTGATCTCGGATGAGATTGAAAGTATTTTGTAAAATAAAAATGGGAATAAAAGAAAAGAAAAAACTACGGCGCCTTCATTAATGAATTCAATATCATCATTAAGAAGTTGATTAGAGAATTGGAGAGGGTCACAATGAAAATAAATAGACATATGTGCAGGTTATTCAACGAAATATGCTTGAATATATTACCTTAATATGTGTGTGCATATATATTTATATATTTTTTAAATGACATTTATCTTTAGGACGGGAATCGTTATGGTATCTTGGGAAAGATAGAGTTGTGATTCCCCGTTGACTTCACAAATTTGAATTATATTTTTTCTATATTGGCTGCCACCCATAACTAAGCAGTTATGTCTACCCTGTTACTTTACCATTAATTCAGTGTATAGATAAAATTGATTCCTGCCTTTTCCAAGGGCATTAGTGTCAAGTGACCGTAATAGGACAGAATTTGAACTCAGCTCATTCAGCTTCCCGCTCCGATAACCGCTACACCACCTGCACACCACCTGCTCTCTATATCTCTCTCTCTCTCTCTCTCTCTCATTTGCACTATCCTGGACTCTTGTGAAGCATAGGCCCACAGCCTCACCATGCGAGGTGTTACGTCTCTAGTTTCCGCAGCAAGTTGGCTAACAGTCCCACACCCAACTGGTTTTGAATTCAAAGTTTTCATGTCCCTAGACTTGTTACCAACCAAGGCTAGAGTTCTCAGTTACCTTACTAGATGGGAGGAAGTAACTGTTTCATATGGCTATTTGTGCGAACGAGAACGGAGTTCGAACTTTACCCG